AAATAATATTATTATTAATATATTAGAACTTATAATATATTAATAAACCATAAGTGTCCTTTCTCTCATTTGGTCTATCCAAGTGTTGCAATGGCATGCAACCCAAATGGACCATGCCAACCGGGTCAAGTACATTCCAGAAATAGTTATGAACTTAGACACCTAATCCAATAGGATGGCCACGACGTGGAGGGGTGTTGATGATGTGGACTCTGCTTTGATCGATGACTTTTGGCCAACTCTTAGTTTCAGAAAGTGGATTGAGAATGTGCCTTGTATGATTTCCTAGGTGGAGTATAGCACCTGTATTCGGCACAGAGAGAGAGAGAGAGAGAGAGAGAGAGAGAGAGAGAGAGAGAATAGCAGTTGTGTATCGACTGAGAGGTGAGTCTCTCCACTGTACTCATGGGTCGAAGGCACCAATGTTGGCCCACGAATTATGTTTGTGGGATGATTATTGTCTTTGTGACACTCGTTGTTATGCCTCTAGATGCTTGTTGTCTTTATGACTCTTGTTGCCGTTATTATATGCTTAGCTGTAGGGGTGAAATACAGTACCATTTAAAAGATACCGAAGGAGTTGAATTATACTCAGTGGGTGAAATAGACCCAATACCGGTTGAAAGATACGACAAAGTTGAAATAGACTCGGGGAGTGAAATAGACCCAATACCAATTGAATGATACCGAAGGAGTTGAAGACTCAGGGGTGACATATTTAGGTTTAATTCGTTAGAATAGGTAGATTTAATTTATATTTATATTTGTTGTAATTAATTAATAGTAAAAAAACTAAAAAAAAAATACAAAATGCAAGATAGTATTTTTATCTCTGCAACACTATAAATGCAAAAGGTTCGAGTGTAAATAAATACGAGGGATCCACACAATCAATGCGATAATTTGTTCTTATTTTTATTATTTTAAACTCATGCGTGGGTAATTTCACATTTTTTAATTTTATCTAGAAGAATAAAATGGTAATTGGACTTGCCCACCAATCCTCAAGAAGTTGGATAATAATGACAAAGTTGCAACCACTATAAATAGTTTATATACCATATAACTAATAACCATCCCAACAGTCGAATACAACCAACCAATAATTGTCCTTCTTGCACCTGCTGATCATGGCGGCTCTTTACGAACTGGAAGTCACCCTTTCCTCCGCCAAAAACCTCAAAAACGTCAACTGGCGCCACGGTCCTCTCAAGCCCTACGTCGTCCTGTGGGTCGACCCCAAAAACAAATGCTCTACACATGTCGATGAGGAGGGCGACGACGCGCCCTTCTGGGATCAAAAACTCATCCTCCCTCTCAACGATCATATCGAGGACTCCACTCTCTACATCGACATCGTTCATGCTAACGCCCCCGAGGGCACAAAGCCCTTAATCGACTCCGCCAAGCTCAAACTCAAGGATGTCGTGGATCAGGTCGGAATCGGTGAGTGTTTCGCTGATAGTCTAAAACTCAAGCGTCCTTCTGGCCGTCCCCACGGAAAGGTGGAGGTGAAAGTCTTCCTCAAGGAACCCCACTATCGTGCACGGGATCCTTACTACGCACCTTCAGCTTACGGTACTGTTCCCCCACCACAACAGTACACTGCTCCACCACCACAACAGTACACTGCTCCGCCGTCCTACGGTGGGGATCGTCCCTACGCTGCACCCCCGTCAGGGTATCAGTATTCTCAGTATGGCGCCCCCCCTCAATACGAGCAGCAGGGTTATGGGCAGCCTGCTTATGGTGGTCAACCGTCGTACGGTGAGTATAAGGAAGAGAAGAAAAGCAATATGGGATGGGGACTGGACTGGCAGTTGGTGCGGCGGCGGGACTGTTAGGTGGGCTGGCGATATCTGAGGGAATTGATTATATGGGAGACCAGATCGCTGAGGATGCCGCAGAGAAGGTTGAGGAAGATCTTGGTAACGACGTCCAGGACGACGAGTAGACCCTCGCACGTTTCGTATCATGTTTTGTGTTTCTCTTTTTCCTTTTTAAAAAGAATTGAAGATGCTTATTTAATTTGCTTTTAATGAAAGTTTGTTTAATTTGAATTCAAGTTGTTTCGACGGGAAAATGATCTATGATACCAACTTAATTAATTACATGCATGCATTGGTTTGTAATCCTGTATAGTTGATTTTATTTAAAAACTAGAGTCACATAATTTCATTTAAAAAAAAATCTATTTACATTTCCAATTAACCAACAGATGATCACAATATTTGCCTACAAACCAAATCCTAGATAATTCAAAATTAAGGTGCAACATAAATCACAAAATTGAGGACTTTGCGTTGTTTAATTATTTTAAGAACTAACCCATCGAAATGGAATTTTTTAGAGGACGGTTGTTGGACGACGGCTTCTTCCCCTACAAAATTAAATTCTTTAGTCCCTGACTCCCTGTTAAGCTTAACTTTTTTTTTTCGATGTTCCTGTTAAAACAGGGGCCGACGACACAAGTAAATTTGGTAGACAAATGTATGCGTTGATTATGTTTTTTGTCCCGTTTGTAAATTGGATATAGATCTAGATGGTTGACCATCTTTTTACTGGCGATGACTTTGCAAAGTGCACTTGGTTCTTGATTGAGAGATGGTCGGACTTTGATTGTCCATCATTTAGTTCGTTGGCCGACTTGTATAAATTTCAAAGGCTTTGTTCCAAAATTAAATTGAGATGCATAAAAAGTTACTATAAAATGATTTTAAGTAAATTTCCTATTGTTAAATTTAAAATTTAAAGTTATTAACAAACAATCTCCTAGATTCTTTAAAGTAATTCGTACACAACAGTTTTTTACCATATACAACAGTTTATGTCACTACTAGAAAAACAGTCTTTTACGACGCGCAATGCGTGTCGTAAAACGCTCAGACGACGCGCAAACGCGTGTCAATGAAGGCTCTGTCATAACGAGAGACGACGCGCATTTACGACGCGCATTTACGACACACATTTACGACGCGCAATTACGATACGCAATGCGTATCAAGGAAGGCCTTGTAAGATTTTTCAGAGATAATGGCATTATGTAAATCATGGAATTTTCCATGCACATGAGAGAATGTGTCCTCTTTTCTTGAAGAAGCATCTTTCTGTGGTTGAAAATTTACGGTTACAGCCCCAAGCTATAAATAGGAATCCAAGTCAAAAGATACAATTAGTTTAGTTAGATTGATTCCAACAAAACATAGGAACTTATCACAATATTCCCAAGTATGATTAAAGAGGGTTACTTAAACAGTTAGTGAACAAGTTATACACTTAACCACATTACATATAAGGGGGTGAAAAGTAAAGTATAATCACATAGCTATTAATAAGCTCAAGAGAAGATTGCAAGTTAGATTAATTACCAGTTTTATGTTCATCTATGCCATTGCCATGATTATAATCATAATCATCACGGTAATCATCATAAGCATCATACTCTTCATCAAAATCAACTCGATATGATACTTTGCGAGGCATTTCCTGGTTAAATAAAAAACCAAATATGATACAGAATAAGCTTTCACTATGGAAATTAGACTTGAGAATATACAAATATAGGTCCTTTATATGCAAATTAAATTATGAAACTGAAATCATAAGAAATATTTTTAAAAGATAATATCTTTACTTTATTGAGGACTGAATCAAAATAACATATGTTTTGGTAATGATTTCCCCGTATCTCATTCATACATTAGCAAAGGTTTAAATACAAGAAATCATACAAGGCCATGGGCCGACATATACAAAGTAAATACAAAAAGGATTATACAATTGAACTAATAAAGGAACATATATAATAACCATAAATAGATGAGATGTCGGCTGGCTAACATCCCCCTGCAGTTTAAACGGGAGATCTCGAGCGGACGTTCAAACTGGATATGAAGTCAAGGAACAAGGAAGATGGCAGACCCTTAGTGAATATGTCTGCATACTGAGACGATGACGGAACATGAAGGACACGAACATGCCCAAGTGCAACCTTGTCTCGAACGAAATGAATGTCAATCTTTATGTGCTTCGTGCGTTGATGTTGAACCGGATTTGTAGATAAGTACACCGCACTCACATTGTCGCAATAAACAAGAGTGGCTGACTGAGGAGGGAAGTGTAACTCCCAAAGTAGATTGTGAAGTCATGTAGCTTCAGAAACTGCATTGGCAACGCCACGATACGCTGCTTCCGCACTAGATCGAGAAATAGTAGCTTGTCGCTTTGACGACCATGAGAGAAGATTATGGCCGAGAAAAACACAGTAACCAGAGGTGGAGCGTCGCGAAGTAGGGCAACCGGCCCAATCGGCATCAGAGTAGGCAGTAAGACTACGAGCAGGGGAAACGTAGAGTTGAAGACCACGATTCAGCATACCCCGTAAGTACCGAAGAATACGTTTGAGAGCCGAAAAATGAGCCTCTCTGGGAATATGCGTATATAAACAGACCTGTTGGACAGCATAAGTGATGTCAGGTCTAGTAAATGTCAGATACTGTAACGCTCCTGCAAGACTTCTATAAAGCTTTGGATCAACCACTGGAGGGCCTGTTCCATCAAATTTGGCTGATGTATCGGCCGGGGTGCGAGCCGGTTTGCAATTAAGCATATTAGCGCGCTGAAGAATCTCAGTGGCATATTGTTGTTGAGAGAGAAACATGCCATGACTATCACGAGTAACTGCAATGCCCAAGAAATAATTCAAATAACCTAAGTCGGACATGGCAAACTCTGAGCGAAGAGAAGTGATGACCTGCTGAAGAAGGACAGAAGATGAGGCAGTCAACACAATATCATCAACATAGAGCAACAAGTATGCAACATGAGCACCCTGACGATATATGAATAATGATGAGTCAGACCGGTTGTGGGAGAACCCATATTGAGTAATAAACTGAGCAAATCGTTGAAACCATGCTCGTGGCGCCTGTTTAAGACCATAGAGGGACCTCTGAATAAGGCATACATAATCTGGATTATTTGAGTCTCGGAATCCGGGTGGCTGATGCATATAGACAGTTTCCTGAAGGTGGCCATAAAGAAAAAGCATTCTTCACATCTAGCTAATGAATAGGCCAATGATGAGAGATGGCGAGGCTGAGAACTGTCCTAATAGTTGCAGGTTTCATTACCGGACTAAAAGTCTCATCACAATCGATACCGGGTCGTTGACTACGACCATTGGCAACAAGACGAGCCTTGTACCGAGCTAAAGAGCCATCTGCATTAAGTTTCTTCTTGAAAAGCCAAATACAATTAACAATATTAACATTCGGGGGACGAGGGACAAGAACCCAAGTTCCGTTAGAAATAAGTGCATTATATTCATCTTGCATAGCTTGAAGCCAGTTAGGATCTCGAAAGGCTTGAGAGTAATTTTTGGGAATTGGAGAGGAGGCTTCGGTGTGAAGATTTAATTTTTGGATGGGTTTGGAGATGCCATGACGAGCACGGGTGGTCATGTGGTGAGGGCGAGTGGTAGCGGAAGGGGGTATAGGAGCAACCGAGGGGACATCTGAAGTGGTGGATGTGACATTCGGTTGAGGTTGGGAAGTAGGAATAGGAATCGGAGATGAAGTGGAAGAGAACTCGGTAGGGGAAACAATAGGAGGAGGTGGTATTAGGGGATCATTGAAGATGTTGCGCTCATCCACATCAAGAAAATCATAATTGGGTAAGGAATTTGGGGTCATGGATCCAAAAGGAAATATGGATTCATCAAAGGTGACATGACGAGAAATAATAATTTTTTTAGTTTGAAGATCAAGACAACGAAAACCTTTATGGTTTGAAGGATATCCAAGGAAGATGCAAGGAGTAGATCGAGGATAAAGTTTACGAGTATGGTTGAGGTGAGGATAACATAGGCATCCAAAGATGCGAAGGTGAGAGTATGATGGGTGAGATTGGAAAAGTCTATGGTATGGGGTGTCATTTTTCAGTGTGGTGGATGGGAGAATATTGAGAAGATGGGTAGCCATATGAAGAGCTTCCACCCAATATGTTGGTGGGAGATGGGCTTGAAAAAGAAGAGTACGAACTGAATTATTGATTGTGCGAAGGATGCGTTCGGCTTTTCCATTTTGTTGAGATGTATGAGGACATGAATAACGCATATGAATGCCGTTGGTGTCACAAAATTTGTGGAAGTCGGTATTGTTGAATTCACCACCATTATCACATTGGAACGTTTTGATGGTGGTTTGAAATTGATTTGAAATATAAGCATTAAAGTGAAGAAATTTAGAATAAACTTCTGATTTGTATCTAAGAGGATACACCCACACAAAATGTGAATATTGATCAAGAAAAATAACATAGTATTTTATTCCACTATGACTTTGTAAAGGGGAAGTCCAAACATCTGAATGAATAATTTCAAAAGGAGATGAAACAGTAGTTTGAGACGAACCAAAAGTAAATCTAACATGTTTGCCTAATTGACAAGCATGACATAACAATGGAGATGTTTTATTATTACATGAAATAAAACGACTAGAAACTAAATGTTGAAGAACATTTTGGTCGGGATGACCGAGACGTTGATGCCATGTAGATGAGCTGACAGATGCAAGGGCTTGAGGAGTGGGTCTCGTAACTGGGTACAAGTTACCCATGCTATCACATCTGAGGAGGATTTGACGGGTCCGAAAGTCCTTCACAGAAAAACCAAATTCATCAAATTCTATTGTGCATTTGTTGTCACGAGTAAACTGACGAACATAAATAAGATTTTTGATAATCTGAGGAGTAATAAGGACATTTTAAGAGATAAAGTACGAAAAGGATTTTGAGTAAGGGTAGTGTGACCAGAATGGGTGATGGGTATGCGAGATCCGTCACC